GAAGAAGCGGTGTGGTCGATGAATCTTTTGCCCTTACCGTACACAAATGGTCCGGTAACCCCCTGATCGTTCCTGTGTTGGGCCTGGAATCTAACGTTCCAATCGCCTGTGAGGAATAGTTGTTGCGGCTTACACCTCGGTGATGCTCCAATGGCTGCCGAGATCCCCGGCCTGGGTCCTGAAGGCCGAATGCATCATGCGGCCATTGGCGGTCTCAAATCGTTCGGGCTGCAAAATGCCGAAGCTCGCCCGGGACCAAGTTGCCACGAGCAACAATATCCGCACAAGTGCACCGATTCCAAGCTTCCACACTTTTGTTGTTGCATCAGCGCAGCGGGATGGAGCGGAAGCGGGAGGAAGTATTGATTCTTCCAGAGGCAATCACGGGGCCCGATGACGAAGTGGTGCGAGTGGGGTCTATTGAGCAGGTGATGAAACGCCGCCAAGACGACAGAGCAGGTGTTGATGACATCGGACTCAAGACCAAGCACACCTCCACGTCTAGAACTCACTGAGCTCCGAGCAGTGTCCCACGTCAAGAAACGACAAGTTGGGACAGTGCCTAGAGCACTTTGTGTCTACGTCAAAGGCAATCTCGCATTGAGCTTAGCTCGCAGCTCGAGGAGATATGTCACCGCGCGATCCCTGTGAGATGACTGTGCTACTCTCTAAACCCCGACGCAGCTATAATGGGGCGCGAACGCCAGCTTCTGCGACGTGGTGAGTTCCAAGGTCCTGCCGGGGGACTTGCGTCCTATCGAGGCTTCCCGCTAAAGTTCATGCACATTTGGAAGCCACATCCTCAAAGAGGTGGATGCAAGCATTGCGTTTTCAATGGAAGATTGCACCTGGACAGGTCACTCGATAGAAATTTAAGCTGAATGCCTGCAATTTGTGATGCTGCTGACATCAAGCGAGCGGTGAACCGCATAGCGGGACTACAAGATTCTGAGACGACACCAGTTTTTTCGCCACATGTAGCGGGAGTGACGTAATTGCGTAATTGGCTGAGCACTTCGGCTTCTCTCATGAAGGCACGGACACGAGTACAACAGTTCCGAAACTCTTGTCAGTGCATCTTACTTGCATTTAAACCCTCTGCCAGATTGGCGCTACGAGGGAGAGCGGCCAAATGTGGTGGACCTGAGGATCCTTAGGAGTAGTAACATAAGCTCGCACAACTGCTCGCATCTGCTCTGCCGTCCAGGCCCTGCAATCTTCAGCTGCAGGGCTGCTCAGCTGTACCGAGCCGGCAAGTGAAACCTTAGCTCTGCACTCCTCCGCCGAATCTCCGAACCTACCCTCGTTCAAGCTATTTCAAGCTCCGCGCAGGTTGCACAGCGAATTTGTGGCCAAACCTCAATTGCTTGCGAGAAGCATTCGCTGAGCAACTTGCCGCATGGCTGAAGCTACCCCACACAGGCCGTTGCCACACGGTGCCGGAGCATCTTATTCCAGACCTTCAGAGTCATGCATGGAGTTTGTTCGATGCAAATTCCAGGGCGCACAATGGCTTACCGAGGCGATCCCCAACTATGCTGACAACCACTAGGAATACAGAGTTGTAGTGGCCTTCTCCGTCAGCGGTCTGGAGTAGATAGCCTTCTGGCAATCAAGAAGTCACTCGCAGAACCGAAGCCGCCATACAAATGTGCAGAAACATGCAAGGACACACCACTCGAGCTCTTTCCACGAAGAGCTAGAAGTACCTGCGTTCACCGAGAGCTGCTGCCATAGCTGGCTGAGATCTGCAAGCTTACCGCCATCGCAGTACCCAGAGCCACCATCACAGATGCCTTCCAAGCATGCGCAGGCACCCTGGAGTCTGGCGATTTCATTGACTGAGTCTGAAGCAATAATACCATACATGGCCGGAGAGCCACCTCCTCGAGAACAGGGGTGGTCAACAGTAGCGAAGATTCTATCCAGGATGGCACGCCCGACGTGTAAAAAGTGTATCTAACAAATGCCACGGTGTGCAGAACAGTCCGTCGAATCGAGGTGTTGCACCATCGCGCTGAGGTATGCTTACCGTACCCATATCTTGAAGGTAAAACCTGAGATGCACGAGAGCGCGGTACAGGCTTGCCGACACTTGGACAGATTGGGACAAGAACTGTTCCAGTCTTCGAGCCCGCAGCCCAGTAATCTGCAGCTTGCCCAGCTTGTTGTTAGAGCCATCATCAACTTGGAACATGCCTTGACAAAAACGCACATTCAACCATTAAGGATTCCAGTCCAACACAGCCAAATACCAAGCATCAATCTTGCGAAACCGATCCGACTGCACCATCTCCCCGCCCGATGGTCTCCCCTTATCGCCGAATTTGAGGACCGAGCGCCCACGCACCATCCTGCTTAACAGCTCATGGCTGACGGCATAGGGAAGTCCCTCGCTGAACTCCACCTGAACCTGGCAATTGGCTGTCATTTGCTGAACCAAAAAACTCACCATTCCACCAAGCACCTGGTGCGAAAGCAGCTTCGTTGGCATGTCCACCATGTTTCCATCCTCAACAGGGCATGCCAGACGTCCTAAGCTAGAAGCTCCGTTCTTTCGTATCCACTGGCCAGACAAGGCCTCAATTTCTTGGGGGCAACGACTCCGTCTCACATGCATAGACAGGAGGCTCAGTCAGTCGGACGATGAATCTGTCTCAAAACATCGTCCATGAGGGAATGGCTTGGTCGATGCCACGTTGTGGTCGCTCTCGCAACCTCCGTCTAGTTTTGTTCGTATATACCGCGCTGTTGACAGCATGAAATTCGCGCCTTCTTTGTGTGTTCCACCATTTTCCAAAAGCGCTCGGCATCTGTGTCGAGTGCAAGAATGAGACATGCGAGGTTGATCTATGCTGATCTCAAGCAGCTGGCACATCATTGGATCAGGCCTGCTGGGTGTTGGCAATCGCACTGGTCTGGGACGGTGCACTGAACCAGTTTGGCTGGCCCGGCTGACCTTCTCTTCGAATCACAAGTCTTCGAATCACAAGGCGGAACGCGCACAGGGCTGAGCAACTGTGAGGCCGAGGAATGATAAGGACGCGTAGGGGTGCGATGATCATAATGAGTCTCATGGTGACGGTGATGATGATCATGATGTTGATGATGATGATGACTCTGATGATGACGACGGTGGTGATGAAAATGATCATGGCGATAGCGATGGCCGCAGACCTCATCATAATGACGATGAGGCCGCAATAGCAACGAACATGAATTTGTCGATGAGGACTGAAATTCCAATGATGGTGATGATGATGATGATGATGTTGATGATCATCAACATGTCCAAACACTTTTAGGGTTCTCACAGCCTTCCAAAACCAACCCACTCTCTGTGCAGCACGTGTGCTCAAGCAGTTTTGTAGGGATCTGCAGATATCTGCAGAACATAGCTCCGCACTACCAAGTCTGACGCCGAGAAGATGTATCAATCTGACGACGATGATCAGCCGTCAAAGTTGTACCAGCGTGCTTTGCGACTTCGCCACATCCACGGAGCATGAATTCCGAGAGTCCACCATGTGCTGATGCTCTCTTCCCGTCTTCACCTAAATAACCCAATCGTTCCGGCCGCTCTGTACAGCAGCATAGCGACCAAGACATCATAAACACCCGAGCAGTCTGCAAAATGGTGCAAAGGCGCTTTTTAAGGGACCATGCGGCATTTTGAAGCAAAACAATGGGTCGCCTTGGTCAGCCAACTCTGGAACATGGATTGCTTGTTTCGTTCTGGTGCAAATGCATCATGGCTGCCCGCACTGTGCATGTGTGATCCTGTTTGCTGTTGGTAAGGCAGGTCTGTGCCAGGTCTTCGAGGCGCAAATCCCAATGATTCCGGATGGCGGATGCGCGGAATCACTCTGTCATTCCGACAGTCGGTGATACCACTGTTCTTCTAGCATTCTCACACACACACACACACCTTGATGAAGCTTTTCAACTAGCGCGGTGTATGCTGTTGTACGGACGACTGAGAGCTCTTTCCTAGGGGATGAAGGCACAGGCGCGGCGACAACAGCAGCAGCTCCAGCCGTTTGCAGGTGATCCTACAAGTCCGGTCACTCAACACTGGCAAACCGCTTATCGAAGGGAGGTATTCGGGAATTGTTTCACGACATCGTCTGCATGTCACGAGGTGCGGCTTGAGACCGTCTAATGCAACCGTCACGAGAGTCCGACCAGCACCCTGATTGACGGGACCAGCGTTCCCGTAGTTGCCGAAGCCATAGTTCGGAACGGCCGTCTGTCAGAGCAAACTCGCCGATGTCAAAGCTGGAGTTCGAGGTAGGCTTCAGCCCGCCTGCTTCTTTTTCTCCTGCAGGATTGGTCACTCACAAATCTCTAGTGGGGTTGGCCAAGCCGGAGGGATGACGCCGGAACTCGCAGAAGCACCAGGCTTACACAAAGACATGACAACATATCATGACAAAAGGCCGTGGCCTTCTCTTGTGCTTCCAGCTCTTGGAGCATGACGGTGACAGCCTGCGACATGTCAATGTTGTGGCCGTCTTGGTTCTTCCACTTTATGATTAATTACCTGACTTTGCCATCTTCAACATGCGTGCCTCTGGCATCGCCGAAAAAGCCCACGCCATAGCCTCCTTCATCATGTTGTGCTGCCTGGCAAACAAAAACTTGTCACTGCAAGCTAGTTTGCAAGACGTGTCAAGCCAAAAGAGGACAGCTTTGCTTCGCCGACGTCTCGTTCGCGGAAAAATGGAAGGCCCTGCATGCAGGGTTCGGGAGACTCTTGAAGGAATCAGTCGAAGCTGCTCTCGCCTGCTGAAGTTGAAAACTAGCTTCGGAAAGTGCAGCTTCTTGAAGCCGTTCTGCAAACATGGAGGAAGCGGGGGCTCACTGCATCGAATGTGTCACCTTCGCCACACCCAAGTCTCTGGATCAGGCCTGACCACAGCCAGGCAGCTGAGTGTCGCAGAAGCCCATGTCGCAGGCTCCATCTGGCAAAAAGTCCTGTGCAAAGCATCAGGCGGTCACCGACCCTCGCCTTGTGTTCTGGCAGTGCGTACAATTATTTCGTGCTCGAGGCGTGCAATGGGGTCACTTGTCTCCTCCGCTGCCATGGCAGGTGCTGTGCCCTCCATCGCAGCTGGCAGAGTGGAGGGAGTTGGCTCGCTGAAAGCCATGCCATGACCCCCGATTCCCACAAACACGGGCTGCCCATGCTAAAATGCCGGCAGGACCCCAAGGACTTGCGTACAGTGGGCCAGCGTTGGGGTTGGTGTACATTTCGGGGAAATCCTGGCAATAGGACATGCTGATCTGACAGACACGCAGCAGCGACCAAATGGAACTTCGAACCTTTGGGACGCCCATGCTCATGACCTGGCTTGCTGCATACATCGACTTGTTTGGCTGAAATATGCTGAAATGTTGATCTCTAACAAATAACCAAAGTAACTGATTCTGTGCTTATTTCGATGTGATGGGTTTTCCGAATGGTCCTCCGATAGGTTATTTTCAGTTTTGAATGCAACTGCTAAACTTGTTTCTCTCTAATTAAGCAAGGCATGACAACACAACAAAAACTCGCATCTGCAGTGTCGGCCTCCACCCTGAACTCCATGCCCTGCCCAAAGTTGAACTTTAGATCCTGGCGACGTGCAAGTGGCCACTTATTGTAACATGGGCAGCAGCACGTATGGTTCAGGAACATGACACACTCTCAAAGCTCCTCGTGTGAACAATCCAGCGCCGGCTGTGTGCCGTCCGCGTTGGTAGTATTTGCCACCGCTGCCGCTGCCTGAAGAAAACAGAACCGCAGGGCAAGCAAGACAGGGTTTTGAGATGCTTCGGTGACAGCCTGCTGCGGCAGTGCCGCAGGAGGTCCTGATCCGGCTTGCAGGCGCCTGCCAGCAGGACGGACGCAGCATGACCTGACAACACCTTCTGAAGGCCATGGCCACCCCTCCTTCGGGCAGTGCCAATCTGGACTGCAGGTGAAAAGATCTTGTGCGTGAGACCACCGTCTGACCTGCGCAGACATTTAGAGCACCTGAAGCGAAACCGAGTGTTGATGCTCCAGAAGTCTAAAGTTGATCTTTCTGCGCGATGCCCCCAGATGCAACAACAGGGCTCCCTGGCCATTGAACCAGCAGTACCACCATCTCTCCGGTGCTGAACGTCGGTGCTGGCAGGTACGAAGTGTGGAGACCCCACTGCATGGTTGCAAGGGGCTGAGCCATCAGCTGTTGAAGCCAAGGGCCGCAGCAAAGGTGCATGGCAATGTTTCGGCCTTCGGCAATTAAGAGTCCACAGTCTCGGAGATTTCAGAGAAACTTGCTGAGAGCGTGCTGCAATGCTGCCAACCGATCTCTGCTCACACTTGACCGTGATCGTCTCCTGACACTTGCACAGCTTGCATAGAGCCCTTGCAGACCCTATAAGGCCCTTTGTGCAGGCCTTCGCAGAAGCTACCGGAAGCAAATACTTGTCAGCCACTTTTCGCAAGGTATGGAGATCCTGACAGGAACAAGCGGGACAGGTTTTTGGCTTTCCATTCCTCGCGAGTTTTTGCTCGGCTTTTCGGATGGTGTCCTGGCCCTGCAGCAGCTGAGATGACTCCTCGACCATCAGTAGAGGAACCAGGTCGAACGACTTCACCTTGCAATGCAGCCGACGCGGCAATGCGCGCTTTTGCACAGCTGCGATGCCTTACCTCGTTCGGAGGCGTGTCAGCAAGTGTCCAAATAAAAGTCGTCTGAGACATCATGCCAACCTGTGGTGAATAGCTCTGCTGCGCATAGAGAATGCTGGCATTGGCCACTGGTGGTGGAACTGTTGGCAGACCTCCGAACCCATGGCAGGCTGCAAGAACATGTTGGACGAGGTAGGTGGAGTCTCGGCCACCTGATCAACCACAGTCGCACAGATTCCGGTGAAACGAAAGAACAGCACATACCTTGAACTGAATGGTCGCGGTGGGAGGGGTCAGCGTCACCTGAGTATGCACATCACTGCATCAAGCAGGTATGCACGCCATCATCAATCCCTGCTGGCCTGAGGAGGCTGGAGGGTTCGCTCGGCGGTCGGAGCCGGGGTAGTGGTTTGCGCTCCAATCAGCGCCCCCTTAGAAATTCCGCAGCAAGACGGCAGTCGATCCTAGCTCAAGAATGTGTTTTAAAAACCAGCAGACCAGAAGGCCGAGCCGAGCTTACGGAACCCGGGACAAACAGCTCAGAGTGTGAGGTGATTGAGAATGCAAGCGTGCAGACTTCAGCTTAGCACCAGGGCATGCAAAGGCGACTCTGCAAAACCTCTAACTCTAACAGAAGCAGCAAATCTTGCCCAGCATGGCAAGCACCTGATTCTGAAATCGTAGCAAAGCATCTGCATGTCTTGGCAAAGCAAATCACCAGAACATCAATTTCATTTCGCTGGTGGACTGGTGACGTGACCATGACTGTGGCTTCAGCATTCGAGATAGCCGGCTACCACCCAACGACTTTCCGATGCCTTGGATGAAGATGTAACTCTGCAAACCAAAATATCAAAGCCCGCATCGGGTCTGATGCCGATCCGGCAATGCTTGGGACATATCATGTGGCAGCAACGACGTTGGCAGTTCGCAAGGAACAGATAGTTCCGATGCAAGCAAGAGTAACTGAGAATCGTGCCAGGAAGTTCGGCTGCGGAGTTTGCGGGACCCCGAACTGGGCATTTTTGAACGTGACAAATGCTGAAGATTGCAGCTCCAAACCCGAGAGTCGGACGGACGGCAAGCTAGCTTTGCCCAGAGACACGCCACCGCAGACAAGCTCCAGCCTCAAGCACTTTTCGCTTGAGCTGCACTAACCACTAACACACACTTGCCACAATCATGGCTCGGACGCTGGTGAGATGCAGAACTCCATGGTTGGTGCGCATTGCGTCTCAGAGCAAAAGCTGTGACAGGTAACAAGCTGTGGAATCAGGAGGCACTGCGAAACCACCAGGGCAGTGGCCCATGCATCCACAAAAGACGGGTAAAAATCGATCGCGTTTGTGCCTGTGGCAGCAGGGATTCGCACCGTCACCACTTCGATGTGTTGGTGTTCGACGCTTTCTGCAGCTTGCAGCTGTGGCGGGATGCAATGGACTCCCCCCGCCAGGCCAAGCTGCTATCACATGAAGCAAGATGTATTGGAGTTCTAGCTCTGGGCCTGGCGTTGGTTGGCTCAAGCTCGCAGTAATTAATTCGGACTCAGGTGCTCAAGTTCCAACCCAGAATTTTGAACACAACAATCAGGGAGAAACTCTTGAACGTCTGGCCGGCAGAAGCAACCCGGTTAGCCTGTATGCGATTGTACCTCACCCCCTCGCGACATTTGCAGAAAAGGTGATGCGATGTCGTGTGCCGGTGGAAGCTCTATAGTTGGAACTGGAACTTGAGTACAAACAAAAATGGTCGTCATCAGATGGGCCCCACATTCTATGCCCTCAGAAAATCCCAAGTGCCTCCTCCTCCTCCTGCTCCGCCTCCTCCCCCTTCTACTTATTGCTATTGCTACTACTGCTACTGCTACCGCTACTGCTACTGCTGCTGCTACTGCTACTGCTGCTGCTACGACTGCTGCTACTACTGCTGCTACCACTACTGCTACCACTACTGCTACCACTACTGCTACCACTACTGCGACCACTACTATACTACTATACGACTATACTACTACACTACTTTACTACTATACTACTATACTACTATACAACTATACTACCATACTACCATACTACTATACTACTATACTACTATACTACTATACTACTAATACTACTGTACTACTATACTACTATACTACTTTACTACTATACTACTATATTACTAAACTACTATACTATTACACTACACTACACTACACTACACTACACTACACTACACTACACTACACTACACTACTCTACTCTACTCTACTCTACGCTACTATTGATACTACTACTACTACTACTACTACTACTACTACTACTACTCCTCCTACTCCTACTCCTACTACAACTGCTACTACTACTACTACTACTGCTACTTGCTACTACTTCCGGGACGTCTGCTTCTAGTACCAGTAGTAGTAGTGGTAGTAGTAGTAGTAGTAGTAGTAGTAGTAATAGTAGTAGTAGTAGTAGTACTACTACTACTACTACTACTACTACTACTACGACTACTGCTACGACTGCTACTGCTACTGCTACTGCTACTACTACTACTACTGCTACTACTACTACTACTACTACAACTAGTACTAATACCATTACTACTACTACAACTAGTACTAATACCACTACTACGACTACGACTACTACTACTACTACTACTACTACTACTACTACTACTTATGCTACTACTAATCAGCAGCAACAGCAGTAGTAGCCGTAATCGTTGTCGTGGCAGTCGTAGTGGTGTTGGCAGCTGTGTTTGTAGCAGTTGCATCTGCCTTCGGAGCAGGTGAGGCGTCAAAAAGAACTATTTTAAAAGATCAAACCAAATTGAAATATGAAAAAGTATTTTAAGGATCAAAACATGTATTTTTCATCATATATCTTGAACACACGCCCTCATTTGGCGATTCCGGCTCGTCAATGTTCGTCATATAGTTTAAACATGCCCCGGCATTTAGCGATTCCGATTCATGCTGTATCTAAAGCCCGCCCCCTCATTTGGCGATTCCGGTTCATCGTATATCTCAAACACACCCCCTCATTTGGCGATTGCAATTCATCATATATCCTAAACACGACCCCTCATTGGACGAGTCGGTTCATCTTTGTCACACGCGGCAGAAAGTCTCTGTCCAGCGACGCTTATACAACTCGGAGGAGTCGGCCGATAACAACGGCAGGCACTAACGCCTTGTTTGGGCTGTCAGTGACATAGCAAAAGGTCACACCGCAGTGTCGTTTAAAAGAATTTGGCTTGAGATAATGAACGATCTCAAGAGTGCAGCTGCTCTGGTGGTTCACAGTCGTTAGTCATCCATGGTTTCGAGTACGTAGGATCAGCACGGGAGTCGGTGCAATACATCTTCTCGTTGATCTGACCTGGCCTCGAGAATCCTGACTTGTCCTTGCAGGCGATTCTGTGCTTGCTGCAAGGCTTCCACTCGCTCGCCAGGGCACCGAGCTGTGTGCGGATCAGGAAGAGCTGACTGGATATCCAGTCTATGTCTTCCTCCCTCACGGTGCGAGGCTGCCGTGGAGAGTCCATGCTGCTCGTGAGCGCCGGCTGGCAGGTGTATGTTCGGTATCGAATCAGAAAGGGCTGCGGAGACACGCACTACCAGCAGAACATAAATGTTGGTGCTCAGGTGATCCATCTGAGATTCATCAAGTCGGGTAGGTTCTTTTTCGTCGTGTGCTGGCAGTTGGGCCAGCCCGGGAGGCGAAGCCCCAGCAGTCGTGTGGCCACCCTGATTTTTGCCAGAAAACCTTTGGCACAAGGTGTCGGTTGCTGGTGCTGCTCATTACTATCCAAAGGCAGTAAAGAAAGGAGTTTAAGTAACAGCTATTTGAACCACCCTGAAGTCGCATCGTTGGCAGTTCCGGGGTTGTGGCTGTGGCATCGGCTGATGCGGATGACGGCGGCAGACCTGGTGTACATTTGGGCGGTGTGTCGAGGCGCGGGTTGGAAGTTACGGTGCTGGAGATTGCGGAAGGGTGTCTTTCGTCATGGAAACTCCGATCAAGCTCATGACCGAGTTGCCACAGAGTCGTTCGAAGCGGTGATACATGTTTGATGCTGTCGGTCCTCTCAGAGACACTTCGAGAGCGAAGGTGCCAAGTTGGGTCCCCTGTTTTCCAAGTTGGGGTGTTGCACCGTGGAGTTGCAGCGTTGTATGGCTTCTCCTGTCAAGTTGTCGATCAGGTAGTTCAGGATCCTGACGATTTCCGCGTGTTGGAGAGGCGGCTTGGCGTAGTCCACCACCAGGCGGCGGTCGGCATGGTTCCAGGTCAAGTTCCGTTCGCTCCATGTCGTTGGCCCGGTTCATCATCTATAATATAACATTATATTATATTATAAAATATAATATAATATAATATAATATAATATAATATAATATAAGACAAGATAATTTGCTATAATCTAAGATAACATAACACAATATAATATAGTTTAAAATATATGATATTATGAAATATAACATAATAGAACATAGTATTTTAAAATAAAATATATTATATAAGATCATATAATATAACACATTACATACTGAAGTATACAGTATAACACAACATGATAGAACATACTATAAGAAAACAGAATATATTACATAATGTAATATAATATCATACCATATAATATAACATAACATAACATAATACAACATGATATAATATAACATGATATA